CAAACATCACAAAACAATGAGCTTTTTCATGTTTGGGAATCCACAGATGTCAATGAGTGGGAGCTCCTGTTTACAAAAGTGATTTTACAAAGTACATTTCCATCTTCTTTCATATGCTGTTGTAATGAGATACAAAATTGTTTCCATATTTCAAGAATGACTATGGCATAACAGAATCCGTCTAACTTCAAAACATGCTGTTTGCTGTCTTCAAATGAAGGAGCTCTGGCTGGCTGCACTGCATGCCTGGCACTTGAGTGCATTACCAACTTATCAGGTAGTGCAGAATTAAAGTTTGCTTAATGAGTTAGGTTATGAAATAAGGAACTCTGAGAATATGCTAGAAGTAGAAAAGACCAGAGTCTAAACATCATAATTGACCATTTGTTGAGTACTAAACACTGACCAGATTTGTGTTGTAGGAATAGAAATACATAGACCCAAAACTAGGTGGTGTCAGAGAACAGAAACATCCTTCATAGTAGTTTAAAATCAGAGTGTTGGGAAGGTCAGGATTCCTTAAAAACTCTGAAAGAGAGGTTCTTTCCTTTCCTTTTTAAACATGGGGTAGCTCCAGGTATTCTGAATATTAATTCCTTTTCTCATTGTTGTAACAAAATATCTAACAAAAGCAACATGAAAGGATTTATTTTGGCTTAGAGTTTGATCCACAATGTCAGGGAACATGTGGTCTCAGGAACATGCGGCAGCTGATTTTCTTGTGCCAGCAGTTAGCAAGCAGAAAGAGATGAATGCTGGTGTTCCACACAATCTCTGTTTTATTCAGTCCAGAACCCTAGCTCATGGGATAGCCCTGCCCACATTCAGGTAGGTCTTCCTATCTCAATTACATTTTTCTGGATACACCCTCACAGACATGACTAAGGGATTGCCTCTTAGATGAAGAAATATAGTCAAGTAAACACTAGAACAGCTGATGCAGCCAAAGCTTCTGTTTCCATCTCTACTTCACCTGACCATCTTCCTCTGTGTTCACACTCAAATTCCCTCTTACAGCAAAGAGATTGGTTCTATGGAGTAAGGGATCACCTTAAAGGGTGCTGCCTTTTCTCCACCCAGTCACATAATCAAAGACCTCACAGTATTTCCAGAATGAGTCATATATTTTCAAGCTTTGGGAATTAAACATATCTTCCATATCTTGCCATAACACTAACTGCATGGCAAACATTATTTTAGGTGAATATATATATATATATGTATATATATATATATATACATATATATATATATATATATATATTACATTGTCAAAGCTTCATAGTAAGCCTGTTAAGTAAGCATTATTACTGTCTATGTTTTTTAAATATGAAAATTGAGATGCAGAAGATTACATAACTTATTGACATGCTTACAGCTGGTTACTGGCTAGCACATATGAAAACTCACAGCCTGACAGCAAATCCCATATTAGGACCACCAAGAACATGAGCACTCCTGAGCTACAACATAGGTAAAATAAAATAGAGTCAAATATGAAAGCTTTTTTCTCAAGTAAATTGTAATGATCTTAATCTGAAAGCCAGCATGTGTAATTTTAAGTTTCTATGGTTTTCATAACTGCCCTATATTTCATCATTACAGATAATACTTATGCTAGTGAAAGGCTAGCTTACTTGGATATTTTCTGTTCCTGTCAGTATGCAAAGACAATGGCTCTACTATAAATAACAAGGCTTACTTTGAGATATAATAAACAGGATGTTTACAATTATACTTAGTATAATATCCAACATAAATAATTATTGTTTTCCTTATTAAATAAACTTTTCATTATTCTACTAGCAATTAATACACAAAATTGCTTATCAATTAATGCAGCCATTTTGCTGAAGAAATGATAAGTATATACACATACTTTACATATACATATATGTAAAAGTGATAAATATATTACTATTGAAACATTGATTTATAAGCAAATATTAGACTCTTTAATTAACAACTACATACATGTACCCATATGTATCCATATATATGATAGATCAATGATGAATAGATGAATAGATAATGGAGAGATGATTGATGATAGACGGATAGAGAATGGGTTATAGATACTACACGATAGAAGATAGATACACGGATAAATGAGGACATGTTGATGGTATGTAGATCTCAGATGAATTGACAGATGCTGAATTGATGGACAGTAGATGGGCACATAGATGATAAAAACAGATAGATGAAAGATAGATGTTAGATAAAAAGATAGATAATTTATAGGAAGGTGATATATAGATAGATGATGGATTTTAAATAGATATACAGAAAAAGAGGGACAGGTGACAGATATGTTGATAGGTATACAGACAGACAGAAAGACAGATTTGAGTTAGATAGCTAGGTGATAGGTAATAGATTATGGATATATATATAGATGCCAGATATGATGAGAGGTGCTTGGTAGGTGATTGATAATAGATAATAGTAAATAGATATGTTTACTAGATTAAATGTGACAAATAGATATCATAGATAGATATGATTATGATAGTTGATGAACGATAATTGATAACAGATTGATAAATGATAGATAATATATAGACAATAGATGACAGGTACTATAAAGAAATGATAGATAATAGATAAATATACAGACAGCATACAGACAGATGGTAGATGGATGAACAAATACTATATACAATCAGTTACTTAAATAGTAATTTTTTTATATTTGCTTAAATAGAAACTAAATACCTTTAGGAAGGAAAACAAGCTATATATTAGTGTATGTCAAATGGAAAAGAGGTATTAGAAAAACTCTGCCTTCCCTTTAAATTTCCATTCTACTATAGATTCTTTAATGGCTACAGTTTTTTCAAAGGCGAGCTAAGAAAGATGCTAGCTCTATCTATCTTATAGAAGCACTGGCCAAATGACAGTAGACTATTTAAACCCACCTGTGGACAGGAGCCGTGGGTGCTTAGTCCTAACTCCCCGTGCTTACAGCAGCAAATTATGCTTCACTGTTAAATTTATTTGTCTTCTCAAAATGTAGAGAAAGCTTCTAGTTTGGGTTTCTTCATTATGATTTACTTTAATAAGTAGTGTTCCATATCACATGATCACATACATCTTGTTTCTTGTTAAGGCATGTGTACTAGGTAACATTTCTGCATCGTGTTTCTGATTAAGTGTGTAATGACTCTCCTCATTGTCATTGTACTACTTTAGATCACCTTTTTATGATGGTCATACTTTTTGAAACATATTTTATTTATTTATTTATTTTTTTATTTTTTTATTTATTTATTTTTGGTTTTTCGAGACAGGGTTTCTCTGTATAGCCCTGGCTGTCCTGGAACTCACTCTATAGGCAAGGCTGGCCTTGAACTCAGAAATCTGCCTGCCTCTGCCTCCCAAGTGCTGGGATTAAAGGCGTGCGCCACCATTGCCCGGCGTTAATCTTTTTACAATTAAAATATAATTACATTGTTTTCGCCCTCTTTTTCCTCTCTCAAACTTTTCTCATGTACTCCCTCACTCTCTTTCAAGTTCATGGCCTATATTTTTAATTGTTGTTGCATCTCTGTGTGTTTATACATATAATAGGAATTTATAAATATGTAAGTATATTTATAATATATTAGAAATATGTATGTATTCCTAAATATATGTATACACCTACAAATATACATGAATATATTCCTAAATATGTAATTATAACATGCTTAATATTACTTGTTTATATATGATTTTAGGACTGACCACTTGGTATTGGATAACAAATTGGTGTTTTTTTCCCTGGAGAAAACTATTTCTCCCTCTCTCAGTATACTTTACTTGCCTATAGCTCTTTGTCTTGAGTTGCATGGTGATGAGCTTGTCCCCTTACATGATAGCATGCTCATTGCTGTCATCTTTGTTCAAGGTGTTTTCATCAGGTACCCAATGAGACTTTATGTGTGTAATTTATGACATTTCTAGGGGACACAGTCTCACAGCAAACCCCTGTTCCTCTGGCTTTTCAAGTCCTCCTAGCTTCTCTTCTGATAGGCTCACTAAATCTTAGATAATGTTGTAGATATATTGAATTGGGCACTACATTATCCCTTGTTATCTTCAATTTGATTGGTTGTGGTTTTCTGGAATGGTTGTCATCTCTTGCAAAGAGATGTTTGGTTAGATAGAGAAAAGCAACATTGTTTTTTAATGGTTTTTCATTTGTTTTAACCAAGATGTTAGTTTTCCATGTTTTAGGTACTCCAAATTCAGGATATTAAATATAAATATTCAATATATTTTTATGGTATCATCATAAGACATTTCCTTTAATGACATAGTTTATGCCTGTTTCCTGTCACCATATATAAGTGTCTAGTTCTATCTTTTTTGTCATGCTTGCTTATGGTGTTCTATTCAAAGCCTATGAAAATATGTCAAAACTTTCATTAAGATGAAAGGCTAGGGCCTTCATACTGCACTAACAAATCTTAAGAATTTATGGTACTTTTCTTTGGCTTTACAATACTGCTCATACCATTTTATCCTTCTTGTAGTTTTTTTGGAGACAGGATTGCTATGTGATGCCAGCTTGTCTAAAACTGGTCTTCCTCTTACCTTAGCATCTCCAGCAATGGATTATAGGCATGTACATGGCATTTGACCATTAACTTTTGTGTGCACTTGGCAAGTGTTCTTTCTTTGAGGGGTGGAGTGAGCCTAACTTATAACAGAAAAAAATGACTTAGTTTTACAGGCAAACTCCCAAGCTATTGGACTGCCAGTGAGAATGAGAATTGCAATATAGAGTATTTCTCCCCATTCATAACTAGAATTCTACCACAACCGGTTACCCCACAATGGTAAGCATATGTTGGTACTTGAAACAATGACTATTTTCCACCTTTGAAAGCATGTGAGGAGTTCACGTGTAAAATATCTCTCCTCTTTGCCAACTCAGAAATTTACATTATTTATTCATAAGCCAGAAGAGAAATAAAATTTAAAAATTTAATCTGAATCATTTTCTTTCATAGGTTTCTCCTCAGAAAGGAAGTTCAACCTGTAGAATTACGTTAGCAGACAAGCACAGAGGGCTGAACTCTCAGCTGTAACCACTTTGCTTCTTCAGGACATCTGTGAACGTTCTCCTTTGAGATCTGCTCTCAGTTACCTTCTCGTGGCCCTCATAGGGGAAAAGTAAGGACCACTGGGACACAGTAGAACTCTACAGATAAATCGAACTTCTCTCCTCAAATGACACAGGACTGCTGATTACACGCTCCTCCTCACAACTCTCCTCATCTAAGCACTGATGGGCTTGTGAAAGTGACTCCAGGATTTGTATGACTCCAGCTCTGGTGCTGTGATATTATAGACTTATTTAGAATGAACAGATCTTAAGCCAGGCACACTGGTGCATCTTATAATTCCATGGGAAGTTACTGCAGAAGGATTGCAATGATTTCAAGACCAGCCTGGGTTGAAATACAAACACCACATAAGCCAATTCTGCATCTCAAAAAATTAATAAAACACCGTGTAGTCCCTGGAAGAAAACTTTTTTCCATAATGGCTAAGTTAATTATTCAGTGGTTTGACAGTTGGACTAGGTAATATGTTCATTACTGTTGAACTTGAAACTACATGAATTTTAATAGACAATCAAAAGACTTATAGACTCCCCTGACTAAAAGAGTGAGTCAAACTCAATAAAATGACAAACATGAAACTATCCTTCCAGTGGATCATTTTTAAGCTTGTCAGAAGTTATGAGCCTGTTTCATCTTTAGGTAAAATTGGTTATGAAAGGGTACTGTCCTGACAGAATGGTGACGGCCACTTTCTGTCTGTAAATAGTCAGCAAGAATTGCCAAATTCTTGAGGTTCTGTCTCTTTTCCAGTCTGTGGATTTGAGCAATGTTTATGAAACTGGACTATACCTTTTTAAACTAATTAACCTAAAAATAACACATCCATACATTTTATTGCAGTTGAAGTACAAAGTGACCTAGCTGATCTCTCAAAATCCAGCAGTTTTAAAAGCATTAAGCCCATCTTCTTCAGTAAGATTTGGTAGTGTCAACTTGAGTTCCTGTTTGTAGCGGTGAATGTTCATGACAAGAGTGTGAGAACTGCAAATATCTAACACTTCTAGATGAACCTAAATAGAACCAGGAACATCCAGGGCATGCGCAAAGAAAACTACCGGATCTAGCTAGCTTTGCTTCCAAAATTATGCGGCTTGTCTAACTCAAACTATTTTTGTTTTAATTTGTGGGTACACACTGAATAATGAGAAGGTAAAAATGTCCCAGGAAACTAAGCATTTCCCCTTTCGTCTTTGTCTAAGCTGTAACTTAACCTTTAAGAGAAGCTGAATGATCCTGTCATATTAGCTTCCAAGCCCTTTGTTTATGCAACTATGTATCAGAAAGATAAGCCATCCTTGGGTATCCCTTCAAGTCAGAGAAACAACTATCACCTCTAGGAAGGCATTCTGCATATTGGAATTTTCCGTTTCTTCAAATTGTTAACAAAATCATGGTAATGTCTGTTTCTCCTGCTGAATTAAGTCTATGAAACAAGACATGCTTATACAATTTTTAAAGTGTATACACAGGAAAACACTCTTCATAGACCAGTAATTAAGGTCTGCAGCAATAAAACATGGTTTGATTATTCAAACTGCCCCTATGCTATTAACAAGGTGCCAAACACTGACAAGAATGCATAAATGTTAACCTAGGTGGAGAATAGACTATTAACTAAGAACTAATTTCATTTTTCATCCAAGACTGTTTTTTCATTCAGACTCTGTTACTAGAGAGATTTCAATCCCCCATTCTTATGTCCTTTTTCCCCATAACATGTCTGGAGACTTCTCTGCCTGGGATCATAATAAGGTTCAGACCCTTATCTATGGGTCTATTTTATTTTTCACACAGAGTTTGTGGGCATTAGTGAGCACTTTCTTTGAAAGGGAAAGAGGTCATGACACCTGTCTGAGGAAGGAAACTTAAAAGCAGGCATACTTCAAGAGTCTGGGTGATCATGGAGAATTTGATCTTTGACTTGAAGATATCACATGAAGAGAAACATGTGTTCACTTTGTTTTGGTTGCAACATCAGTTTAGAAGGAAACCGCAGGTCTGGTAACATCCAGGGCATAGGTCAGCCATGTCTCCTTGCTAGCTTTATTTTGTTTCATTGGCTTCAGGCTTTATTTTCTGTTTTATAGTGTGTTCACTGAGCTCTGACACCAGCAAAAAAGAAAAAGAAAATGAAAACAAAATATAATTATGTTCTTGTGATGGCTGATTGATCGGAAGCTTACAGAGGCTCAGGGATCTTCCCTGAGACAAGTAGGTGACAGAGCCAAGGTGCAAAACTGTCCTCAGAGGGGCAGCCCAGGTATGTGGATGTCACAGCTCTGCTTTCTAACCCTCCCCAGAAAGTTCTGCTCCTTGTGATGATCCATTTGGTTTTCATTAAGTTCTATTATAGGAGCATAGTTTTGAAAAAATACTATTTAGAGAAAATGCTACATGTTATATAGAATTATTATGTTACATCCAAAGTTAAGAGAAATGTCTTATTTAGATTATGTGAGGAGCTAAACATGCACAAAGTATATGATATACTCCAAGGATATGCATGTTGTTGCTTTTGACTTCCAATATTGTTAACAGAGTTCTGTTACAGTAGAATCATATCTAAAACATATATGGTAGGTAATAGTCTCTTACCCTGTTGAAATGGTAAGAGTCTCTAGATTCTGTAGCACTGAAAGTGCAGTCTTCTTTCTCTACCCAACTGCTTGTGTCCTAGTTACGTAGCTCAAATTGTTTCTTATGCCTATGTTTCTTTTTCACTGTATTCATTTTCCCATTTGTTGCTCTAAGAGAAAAAGCTACTATGAAGAATACTGTATCAAGTTTACTTCTCTGTTGCTGTGATAAAGCACTGACCAAAAACAAGTTGAAAAATAAAGGGATTTATTAAGTTTACAGGTAATAGTCCATTCAGGAAAGCCAGAGCAAGATCTCCAGACAAAAAAAACTAGATTCAAAAATTGAATTAGGGAACATGAAGAAACACTGCTTACTGCCTTGTTCCCCTTGGCTTGCTCAGTTTGTTTTCTTATATAGTCCAAGTCATGTGTAGAACTATTCACAGTGGGTTGTGCCCTCCCACAATTAGTAATCAGGAAAACTTCCCAAATCCATCCCCACAAGCCAATCTAATAAAGACACTTTCTGAATTCAGATTCCTTCTTCCCAAGTGACTGGAGTTTGTGTCAAATGGTCAAAAACTAAACCAGCATAGGCAGTTACACTTCCTGTCTTGTGATCCCATAGGGGAGAAACTATTTGTCATCATACACCCACATACTCCACACGTCACACACTCCCACCTATCGACATGAATATAAATAAATATAAATAATACAAATATAGATATAAATATAAAATATAAATATACATGCATTTTCTTCATGTATACCATTTATATATAATACACATATATATACATACATATGTACATACATAAATAATACAACATATATTCACACTCCACATTCCCCATGATAACAATAGATACATACATGAAGCAAAGAACACTCTGTAACCCTACCTTTCTCAATTTTGTAAGCCAACCTCTTCAAGAACTGCATCAAATAGGTATGGAGAGATTGGACATCCTTGGCTTTTTTCTGAGTTTGATGGTAATGAGTTTCCCTGTTTAGGCTGATTTGGGCTTTGGACTTAAAAATTGCCTTTATTATGGTGAGGTTTGTTCCTTGTATCTTAATTTCTCCAGGTTTTTTAATATTAACTTATTTATTATGTATACAGCATTCTACCGGCATGTATTCCTGAGACCAGAAGAAAGTACCAGATCTCATTATAGATGGTTCTGAGCCATTATGTGGTTGCTAGGAATTGAACTCATGGCTTCTGGAAGAGCAGCCTTAATCACTAAGCCATCTCTTCAACCCATTTCTTCAGAATTTTATCATGAAGGGATGTTGAATCGTAGAAGGCTTTTCCATCATCTAATGGGTTGATGAGATGATCATGTGGTTTTTGTCTTTTAATCTGTTTATGTGTTAGATTAACTTTATTGATCATTAATTTACATATATTGAACTATCCCTTTGTCAAGGATCAGCCTTGGCTTGGCTTGGAAAGCAGTTCTGAGGAAGGGGTGTCTGGGAGCTATAAAACACAGACTTGAAGTCAAATTGTAGGTTACAACCTGACAGCCTATGTTCTGCTGAAGATAGCTTTGGTTCTTAGGTCTATTTGCTTGGAATATTTCCAGACAGCTCTCTGCTTGAGACAATTTTTTGTTTGTTTCAATTCTAAAATCTTTTTAGATAACGTATCTCTTGCAGATCAAAATCCCAGTTTATTTACATATCAATTCAGTCATTGCTCCAGGTTCCTTCTTGATTATCCCATGAATGAGTGTCCCATAACTCCAGCCCCTTAAGAGACAGCAAGCATATTTTTTATATCGCAAAAGAATTCAGAGATCTGCCTGCCTTTGTTGAGCATAAATAATAAGCTAGCTGGGTGGGATCCTGCCCTGAAATCATCATTCCTGCTATACCTGGGCCTGGACCTAAACTCCCTCTGTCTCAGGATGACCTTAATCCCAGAAATCTGCCTGCTTTTGTAAGCACAAACAAAAAATTTAGCTGGGTAGACATTTGCCCTGTGATCACCACTCCCTAGACCTCTTTATTTCCTTCCTTAGTATCTTTCTGACAAGCTGGTTCACAGTGCAGCTGCCTCTATTCTTTTAGATCTGTGAAGCTCCTTATACAATTCATATTGCATCCTTATATTTTGCATAGTTGAAAAATTATATATTTTTTAACTGTTTTCAGAGTTTTTCCCACAGCCTTAAGGGCTGTCCTGAAGGTCTTAGCGTTATTTTGCTAAGACATAGACACACTCTCAACTCTTGGACTCATGCTGATTCTAATTATAATGTAGTCATTAACATTGGCAGGGAGAATATTTTCTGATAATCTTGGCAGGGAAAATATTTTCCATATACAAACAAGCCTTATACCCACAGCAACCATCCGTGCTTGGGGAGGTCAACTCCCTGATGGCTCTATTCCAGGGACAGCAATCATGTCACATGGTCCTTGCCATAGCCAAACTGGACTCAGCATCCCTTCATCTCTGGAATGAAGCCAATTTAATCATCTTTTTTTATGTGTTCTTACATTTGGATTGCAGGTATTTTATTAAGAATTTCTGCGTCTATGTTTAGAAAGAATGCTGATATATAATTTTCTTTTTTGAGTAGGTCTTTGTGTGGTTTTGTTATCAGAGAAATAGTGGCTTTGTAAAAAGAATTAGGAAATATGGCTTTAGTTTCTATTTTGCAGAATAATTTGAGAAGTATTGACATTAACTCTTCTTTGATGGTCTGCTATAATTCTACACTGAATCCATCTAGCCCTGGACTTCTTTTGGTTGGGGGATTTGTAATTACTGCTTCTGTTTTGCTAGGGGTCATAGGTCTGTGTAAATTGCTTATTTTGTCTTGATTTAACTTCATTATATTGTATACATCAAGAAATTCATTCATCTCTGTTTAGTTTTCCAGTTTGGTGGAATACAAATTTTTAAAATATGTCCTTTGATTCTCTGAATTTCCTTGGCTGTAATGTTCCAGTTAATGTCTAATCTTATTAATCATATCTTCTCT